ACCCACAAACCACCTCCGGCTCAGCTACTTAGCTCATTTATTGGCCTTATTTCAGAGACCCATACATCTCAAAAGAGATCAAAAGACGCAGTTAGGGTTGGTGGCACAAAGGTAAGTGGGAACCTGTGACTGAGATCTCCAAGCCTGCCTGGATTGGGACTGGAATTCCGCCCTCCAGGTCCCCAGTCTTCCAGCAGCTTGGCAATCACTTGGCAAGTATGAAACTCACAAACTGACCCCAGCACCATGTAATCTCATCAACGGCCAAGACCCACAGACTATAAACTAAACTGGAAGAGAACAACACAGAATTTCCTGGACATTATATTCTATCCATAACAAGCAATACGAAATAAGTCGTCTAGCATTGCCTTTTTGGAAGGTTTGAGTGTTGGTGGGACTAGTGTCAAAATATCGAATGTAACCAAAGTAGAAAGAGAATATGGGGGAAACTGTCTGCCACACAAGCAGGGGAAAGGTTGGAAGGGGGGCTATACTGGGGATTTTGGTGGTTGGAAAATGTGCACTGGTAAAGGGATGACTATGATGACTATGACCGAAGCTCAAACATGAAAGCTTTCTAACTATCTCATGGTAAATCAATAAAAACGGGGAGAAGAAATAATACCAAAATAATAAAATAAAAGTAACATTCTGAATAATAAAGAAAAATGTAATGTGCGGGGGTATGGTGCCGCCAGCAGGTCAATCTATACCTGTGAGGCTAGTCTATCAGCAGCCTGATGGCAATGTCAGACTTTCAGATACCCCAAAATTGCTGCTGTGCCTTTGGCCAGATGCCAAAACCTTGGGGCAAAGTTTACCAAAAAAGTAAATGGCCAAAAGTTAGGTACGTGGGAGACACACCCACAAACCACCTCCGGCTCAACTATATAATTGGAGGCATGGTCTCTCTGGTTCCTGATCAACTGCTTAACAGCCATGATCCCAGAGACTCAGAAACGAATCTCAGAACCCAAAGGCTTTTAGCAGAAATGCATCCTGTTCCTGCAGTAGGTTACTGGCGCTGGGCCACTCCGGGTGGGAATAGGTTTCGTGCCTTGGCCTGTTCCCCCTGGTGGCCTGGTGACCACCATCCTCCAGAGGCCACTGGACAGTCAGGTTTGGGCCTGCAGTGAAGAGACACATGGGGCCTCACCACATGGGGGTGGAGCCAAATCTTTCTCCCCATCCCAATGAGACCCCGAGTCACCGCCTACAAATGGCCTCTCTGGATCCTGATAAAGCTGATTAATAGGCATGATACCGGAGACTCAGAAACAAATCTTGAAACCCAGTGGCTTTTGGCAGAAATGCATCTGGACTGCACACAGGGTGGCCCCTGGCTCAAAGCTAATTGGAAAGCCAGGTATGAGCCGGCGGTGACGGGGCAACTGCAGTCTCATGGGAAGGGGGGCGGTACTGGCTTGTCCTTCACGCCCTACCGAGGTCATGAGTTGCCCCCCACAAGCGGCTCTCTGGCACGGCCAGGGCTCCAGAGGCAAAAGGACTTATTCCAGAGCCTGGAAGCTTGCGGCAGAAAAGTGAATGGACCATGCGTTAAACTACGGCGCCATGTCTCCTCAGGAGGGAAAGGGTGTTGCTCCCTTCCGCCTTTCCCCTCCCTGGCAGCAAGGTGGCCGCCACCTCAAAGCTTATAGGAAAGCCAGGTACAAGCCGACAGTGACGGGGCAACTGCAGTCTCATGGGAAGGAGGGCAATACCGGCTTGTCCTTCACGCCCTACCGAGGTCACAAGCGGCTCTCCAGCACAACCATAACACCAGACACACAGAAACCAATCTCGTAATTATCTGGCTCTTTGCAGAAATCCAAAATCGTGGCCGCATGACATTATATGATTCTCATAACCAGCTATAGAAAACAAAGTATTTCACAATGCCTTTTCAGCGATTCTGATTGTTGGGGCGGGGGGGGAATTCTAAACAATAATGGTGCATCTTTTGTCGAAATAATGAATGTAATCAATGTAGAGAAGAGTTAAGTGAAAATCATCTGCCTCACAAGCATCTGGAGGGTTGGGAGGGGGGTATACTGGGGTACTTGGTGGTGAAAAATGAGTACTGGTGAAGGGAAAGGTGTTTGATCATTGTATGACTGAGACTTAAACCTGAAAGCTTAGTGACTTTTCCCACAGTGATTCAATAAATAAATATAAAAAGAAAAATAAATAAATAAAAATTAAGATGGAGTTCATGCCCAATTCAATCAGCTAATCAGTGGCTGAATAGCAGTACTCCTACAAAAAAAAAATGTAATGTGGAGTTCATGCCCAATTCAATCAGCATAATCAAAGGCTGAATAAACAGCAGTACTCCTACATTACAAAAAAAGAAAATCATTTGCTAGTAATGACTGTTCTTCTGCCACTGAGATTTCTTTTTTAAAATGTTGTGTTATTGTCTCTATAACTCTTTTCAAAGCGATTTGATAGAGCAATCAAGCATCTTCATAATAAAACTTAAAAACTTTCAACACTTGTTACTATTTAGGAATGGGGACTTACGTGTAGAGGCCCTGGATTTTACCACTGACAACACAAACGCTGCAGGTGTGGGTCTTCGTGAGCCACCACAATAGTAAGAACAGCATAAATACCCCCCAAATAAAAAAGCTTATCATTTCCTCAAGTTCTTAAAACTTAATTTTTGGTTTGTTTTGAGGTCATACTTGGCGGTTCTATCTCTTTGACCCTTAAAAATATTCTTTTAAAGGCCAAAGAGATAGCTCAAGTGGTAGAACACATGCTCTGAGTTGGACCACTAGCACTGCAAGTCCAGGTATGGCAGTGACACCGATAGAGCCTCTAAAGAACATGCAAAGCAGATGACCCAGTTTTTGTTGCTTTCTTTTCCTGAGTTACACACAGCTGTGCTCAGGGCTTATTCCTGGCTATTGGCTGAGGGATCACTCCTAACAGAAGTCAGGAAATCATATGGGGTTCAGAGGTTCAAACACAGGGGTTCAAACACAGGTTACAAGGCACATATCAAGTGTCCTACCCACTGCACTATTGTTCTGGCCTTCTATGTTCCAATCTTTTGAGGTTATCTCACTGGTCATCAAAACTCTGAGTTTTACAAAGCACACAGACTCATGTAACCACTATTAAAAATCAGATTATAAAGGAATTACTTAAATGGGGGGTTAGAGAGATAGTACAGTGGGCAGGGCATTTGCCTGGCACACAGCTGATCTCGGTTTGATCTCTGGAACCCTACACGGTTCCCTAAGTGGTTCCTGAGAGCAAAACCAGGAGTAAGCCCTGAGCACTGCCAAAAGTGGCCCAAAATTAAAAACAGAAAAAGAACGATCTAAATCTCCAAAATTCCTCAGTAGTGAAGTCTACTCAATTTTCCAACTCTAAATAATCTGATATTTGCCATTCCTACAGATTTTCCTGTATAAAAATTGTGATATAAATGGAAGTATAGTCTTTTTAAGTCTGGCTTCTTTCACCTAGAATAACGCATAAGAGATTCTTCCCTACTGTACTACTGCTTGTGTATCAAAAAAAACAAAAACAAAAACAAAAACAACAACAACAAAAAAAAAAACTAGAAAGTATGAAACCCAAGCATGAAAGTTTTTAAGTCTACAACTTTACTTCATGGTGTTTCACTAAAAACAAAACAAAAAAAACTAGGAAGTCGATCTAACTAAAATATTAAACTTTAATTTGTCAGGTTTACTAAAGAATATTATTAGGTAGATCTTTTCTTTTTTTTATTATAATACCTGATTTACAAAGTTCTTCATGATACAGTTGTTCAGGCATCCAATGTTCCAACTCCATTACCACCACCTGTGTGACCCTTCCTCCATCAATGTATCTAATATCCCACCCACCTCCCAAGCCTACCCCCTTAACAGTCACAAAGTGACTTCATATTGCCTGTCCCAACAAAATGGCAACTGGGATTTTGAAAAAGTAGATTAATAAAAGTAAGTTTGTTATATTATTATGTCTTACAACAGAGTTAGTAGAAGTCACTGCTTATTTTAGGTAGATCTTTTGTAAATCAACTTGATCATATATTAAGACAGTCTTTTAAATGTAAGTTTTATACACATCAGAATGTGTTACCAATGAAAGAACAAGAATATTCTTTTAAGGGCCAAAGAGATAGCTCAAGTGGTAGAACACCTGCTCTGAGGTGGACCACTAGCACTGCAAGTCCAGGTATGGCAGTGACACCAATAGAGCCTCTACAGAACATCTGAAAAATAAATAGCACCAGGGCTGGAGCGATAGCACAGCGGGTAGGGCGTTTGCCTTGCGCGGGGTCGATCTGGGTTTGATTCCCAGCATCCCATACAGTCCCCCGAGCACCGCCAGAAGTAATTCCTGAGTTCATGAGCCAGGAATAACCCCGGTGCATCACCAGGTGTGACCCAAAAAGAAAAATAAATAAATAAATAAATAAATAAATAAATAAATAAAACAGCACTACTGCCACTGAGTGTGGTCCCAAACAAAAACATAATATTGTCTTATATATTGTCTTTAATCTTTTTTGACAGGCAGGGGATTGGTTTTGGGTGCCACTTGTATCAGTGCTCAGGGGCTATTCCTAGCTGTGTTCTCAGAAGTGACCCCTGGTGCTACTCAATGATCATATGCAGTACTGGGGACTGAATCAGGGTTCAGGGCCAGCTGATATGGCAAGTGCCTTAACCCCTGTACTGTCCCCAAGCCCTGTTGTCTTTAATCTGAAGGGCAGACAACCACATTATGATGGTGTAATGTGAAACAAGGAATTAACTATGAATCATAGTAAATTTCTACTTTACTACTCTATAAAACAATGTATTAAAGACTTATAAAGTCTTAAGTTATTACACAATAAAGTTTTTGTTTTGTTCAGCATTGGAAAATCAAACCCAGGTCTCATATATGCAGCTGTGTGCTGTATCACTGAGCCATACTACATCCCTGTCCAACACAGTGTTAAGCAGTGCTAGGTATGCAGTTCCTACCTGATCATCATCTTCTACAACCACCAGAGTCAATTTATTCTTCTTAAAATCCAATCTGGTTATCTTGGGCCTGTAACAATGAGAAAAACAGTCAAGTTTCAAATCAGTAACCTCAAAATTTAATTTTTTTTCTTGTTACTTCAAGCACACCTAATATTTGCATTAAAAATTAATGAGGGCATGGCCAGAACAATAGTACAGTAGATAGGGTGTTTGCCTTGCAAGCAGCCAATCCTGGTTCGATCCCTGGTATTTCATATTGTCCCCTGAGCTCACCACAAGTGATCCTTGAGTACAGAGCCAGGAAAAGTCCTGTGCACTGCTAGGTGTGGCCCAAAAATAAACGAAAAATGATAATGAGGGCAACATATTCTACAATGCTTAGGGGAAAAGTCTTCAATATAAAAGTGTTTAAAAAATATAGTTAACAACAAAAAAAATCCATTTCTAAAGTTGAATCTCTGGGAAAACTGAAACAATATATAACAGATTTTAAAAGTTAAAGAAAAAAAGAGATGCTCATATACATTTTCTTAAATACATTTGTGCATGTATTTGTGCTGAGAATTGGCCCCTGAGTACTGCCAGGCATAACCCAAATACATTTGTGCATGTATTTAAGAAAATAAAGGTACTAGGGCCGGAGTGATAGTACAGCAGCTAAGGCACTTGCCTTACACACGACCAACCTGGGTTTGATTCTTGGCATCCAATATGGTTCCCCCAAAACTGCCAGGAGTAATTCCTAAGTGCAAGAGCTAGGAGCGAACCCCTGAGGACTGCTGGATATGTCCCCACACACACACACTGAAACCACCCCCCAAAAGAAAGTAAAGATACACACACACACACACACACACACACACACACACACACAAGCATACATCCATATTTTCATAGACTCTCAGCTATGGTGTCAGAGAATTCCCAATCTAGCATTCCCATTAACATAAGAAAGATTATTATAAAGCTTTTCAATAGGTATATGGGGCTGGAATATGGGGCTCAGTGGATAGGGATTTGCCTTGATTCCCTTCTACATACCCAACCCCCCCACACAGCCCCCAGCACCTTAGCATTGCCAGGAGTGCTTAGGGAACCATATGGAATACTGGAGGTAGAAGCCAGGTCAGCCTTGTGCATGGCAAACTCCCTACCATTGTACTATCACTACAGTCCTTCAATTCTATTTTCTTTATCAATTTTGATTTGATAAAATATATTTTAAAGGGGAAAAAATTTTATGGTCTACTTTAAAATTGTGTCTCCACCTATAACACTATCCTAAGCAATCTATTACCTGAACCTATGATACAATCCTAAGCAATTTACTACCTGAACAAATGCCAAAACAACACTCACTACCACTAATTTTTAAGTATAATATACATATAATTATAAAGCATAATCATCCCATAAGAGTTTAGCAAAACAATAGCTAAATATGTACAACATGTGAATGAAGAGGGGAAGAGCTGGCATCAGTGTAACAAATACATACTACCTCTAAGTGCCAGATACTGTTCTAAGTAGCCTATGTGTACTGATACAACTGGTTCCCACAGCCACATCATAAGGTGAAACAAACAAACAAAAATGCTTTCTCTTTATCTTGAGCATTCTCTGGCCATGGAAGATGGAAGCACGGTCCATCTGCACAAGCTGCTGTGTCAGAGAATTAAAACTGTAAGAGTGGGTGTATAAAAACATGTTCTCTCTTCTCTCATGGACACTCAAATCTCTTCAAGAGTCCCTAGCAGGGACACCTGAGAGACAGCTTAAAGGGCTGAATGAGTGCATAAATTAGCAAGCTAAATTCCCAAGTTCAATCCCCGGCACCCTGTTCCCCCAAGGATCACTGGGAGTCAGAGTATAACCTGAGTGCTGAGAATTGGCCCCTGAGTACTTCCAGGCATAACCCAAACTCCAAAAGAAAAAATGAACACTAACTTGAATTTTTTGAGAGGAAAAAACTTTCAACCTTACATCTAGACCACAGTAGTGAGAGACATGCCTCTCATCTAAGAAGCAAAATAAATAAATACGACAAGCAAGCAAACAACAAAATAACCAAAAAACCCAAATATGAAGAAAAGGCATTTTAAAGTATGCAAGATTTCATATAATTTACCTCATTATTATTATTATAAATTACCCTTTTGTTGGGTTGGAGCACAGTGGTTAGGGCATTTGCCTTGCACGCGGCCGATCTAGCCTACCCGAGTTCAATTCCTCTGCCCCTCTCAGAAAGCCCGCAAGCTACCAAGAGTATTTCACCTGCACAGCAAAGCCTGGCAAGCTACCGGTGATGTATTCGATATTCCAAACACAGTAACAAGTCTCACAATGGAGACATAAATGGGTCAGCTCAAGCAAATCGATGAACAATGGGAGGACAGTGCTACAGTGCAGTGCTACCCTTTTGTTAGGCCAGGACTATGTATCACAAAAACAAAAGCAAAGAAAAAGAAAAATTGGGAGAAAGACAGCATCCTAGATGTGAAAACAGAAAAAGGAAATTTCAGAATAAAAGCTGGAAGACGATACAACTACTGGAAGAGAAGATGAGATTTAGTGTAACTCTTGATAGGGTTTGAAATAACTGACAAAGAGAAAGGCAGGTGCTTTAATGGATTATGGGGAGGAATACAGGGATGAGGGGATGATTAGAAAGTCCAGCGAAGGGCTCAAGTCATGTAAGGAGCTCCTGTTGCATGTGGTCAACCCCAGCCAATCCCTGACACTGTATACAGTTCCCCAGCACTGTCAGGAGCGACCCTTCAGTGGAAAGCCAGGAGTAGCCCCTAGGCACTGCCAAATGAAACACAAACTCCCTTCCCCTCATCCTCCCCCCTCCCCAAAAAAGAATCCTAGAAAAACAGAAAAATAACCTTATAGAGTTTAAGAATTTCTGGGCTGACAAGAAAAAGGGCTGGGAGTAGTGGTACTGTATAAGGAGTGATACTGAGTGATCTTTTGATAGGGTTGCATAAATAGAAAGTCCTTCTCAGCAAGAAAACTTCCCCAGGCAATGGCACAAGGCCACCACCGAGAAAAAGAAGAGGGCAAGGGACTTCTCCAGGGAACAAGGGAAGCAGAGTGGGAGCATATGTGCCTAGGTAAGGGCACTCAGGAAGGGAGCAGTGCTGGTCAGAAAGTTCAAGAGAGCAGCCATGGCAGGTTCTTGACAGGATCAGTCTTATTACCCTAAGCGTCATGAGATCCAGCATTCAGAGGGTTAATGAAACAGCCAGGCTCTATGGAGCTGAAGTATACTTATTAGATGTGTAAGAGTGAGTTCGGTGCTGACTGAGCTAATGGTCCTGGGGTACAACGAAGAAGTAAATAATACGAAGGCCATGATACAAAGGTTTTCACCGGCCTGGGTATATAAAAATGCAAGTACCCTACTAAGCACTGTAGCAGTTCTGACACAGATATAAAAAAATACTTCTTGATTTTTTTCCATTTTTAGAATCAACCACACAAAACATGAAGATCTTAATTATAGCTATGATATGAAATAAGATAAATTCTCGATATGGAAAGTAAAATGCAAAGGTTAAATTTTAAAGTGTGGATTATAGCAGATGAGACACAGAAAGGGACTACCACGTACTATTACCTTCCTCTCTCACAAGAGGAAGTGGAAGGAAAGACTGGAACAAGAAAGATTAAAAATCCTGACAGAAATATATGATAAAGCAACCCTGTAAACCTATAAAAATATAAAACACTCATACTAAGGCATGTATTTTTAAAACATATCTTAAAATTATGGAAAATATAGGTAGAAGTATTTTAAAACTTGCCTCAAGGAACTGACTAAAGATATTGACAAGAGTAGGTCAGGAAACAGTTGCTACTCATTTACAAGAATTTTCAGATCTACTTGGCTTCAAACTCAATTTTACTTTCTTGTTTATTATTATTATTATTTTAGTTGAATCACCATGAAATATACTGTTATAAAGTTGTTCATGATCAGATTTCAGTCATACAATATTCTAACACCCATCCTTCCACCAGTGTGCATTTCCCACCACCAAAGTCCCCAGTTTCCCTCCCACCATTCTCTCCCTCCCCACCACCGCCTCAGCCTGCCTCTATTAAGTAAATAGGTTTTCTCGCTCTGTCCTCTCTCTCTCTCCCTCTCCTTCCACCCCCTTTTTGGGGTTTGCAATATAGATACTAAGAGATTATTATTCAAACTCAATTTTAAATATTAAGGTGACATGATCTTATTCATTCAAAAAATCAAAGCCAGAACAACCATCTTTGACTCTGACTCTGCTTACCAAAAAAATAAGCCAATCTTGGTCTCGCCTTCAAAAACAAGAACTCCTGTAGGGGTCAGTCCCAAGCTATAGTCATTCCCATCTCTAGCCTAATGGAAGAAGAGCAAAATGTGTTAGCTTTCTTTACATAAAGCAGGCTTCACTTTTTTCACACAACTGTCATTTTTACATTGAATAATACTAATTATCCAGGTTAATATTAATTAACATTAACTCAAGGCATTTTCAACTATAAAAAAATAATCAACACAATAACCTGAAGAAAATTTACTTCGCTGAAACATTGTTTTATGATATGATTTCATTAAAAACAGGCAATTATAGTCCCATTAAAAAGAAAACTCTTTCTAGATTCTTCCCATACTCTTTTCTCAACTGAACCACACATTTTGAGAATAAAAAACAAAACAAAACAAAACAAAAAACATTGCCTTTCTTGGAAAATTTAGCTCTGGATGCCCAAAATAAATCATAAAACAAGAAATATAGCTTATCAAAGTTTTCCAAAGCAATACATTTTCAAGTTTGCTTCCTAAATTATATTAATTTTTACAAAGCATATCTTTAGTAACAAATTTTTTTTTATAAATTTTTATTAGTGAAACACCATGAGGTACAGTTGTAGACTTACAAATTTTTGTGCTTGGGTTTCGATTATACAATGATCAAATACCCATCCCTCCACCAGTGCCCATTTTCCACCACCATGGATCCCAGTATCCCTCCCACCCCCATCCCCCCCATCCTACCCTGCCTCTGTGGCAGGGCATTCCCTTTTGTTTTCTCTCTCCTTTTGGGTGTTGTGGTCTACAAAGTTGTTTTTTAAAAAATGAAAAAATTTTAAAAACATAGCCATACTTTTTTGGGGATTTTGGTTATCTTCTCTCATAATGAATATGAGGTTCTCTTCAACTGAATATTAATCTCAACCATCATAACCACACAAAGTACCCACTGCCTTTTTGTTCCCAAAAACAAAATTAAACAATTTTAAAATGGGCTGGACAGAGAGTATAGGGAGGGAGATAGTGGCTTGCCTTCCACATGGTCAACCCCAGTTAGATCCTGGGTGCTGCGTATGATCTCTGAGAACTACCAGAAGAGATTCTGGGCACAGAGTCAGGAGTAACTCCTGAGTACAGTCAGGTGTGAGCCACAAAGAACCGAATACTAGTTAGCCTATGCAAGCTCCATGACCACCCTAAAACTGAAAACTTCCAGTCACTGTGAATATTGAAGATTTTTTGACGCATTTTAAACACATAACAACTACATGGGGCCAGAATGAATAGGTAGGACATTTGCCTTCAATGTTGCTGATGAAGATTTGATCCCTGGCATCCCATATGCTCCCCTGAGCTTGCCAGGAATGATCCCTGAGCAGAGCAAGGAGTAAGCCCTGAGCATCACCAGATGTGGTCCCCCTCAAAAAGAAAAAAAATTCCAAAAGCCAAAACATAAGTACACAGTGCTTACCTTAACCACATGCATATCAACCCCATACATTTCTAACCATTTGGCTTTATTTAGATAATTGGTTTCAGCTTGTGCTGGTGTCTGACCTCTGAAATTAAATATAAAAACAAATTAAAAAACCAAAGAAATAATAAATATAAAATCAATTTTTACCAAGTAAAAAAACAGAAAATAAATATGAAGTCACTAATGTTGTGATGTTACAGAGATTATAATCAGAGGCTGGAGAGATAGTACAGCAGGTAGGGCTCATAGTTGCACGTGGCCAACTTGGGTTCATTCCCTAGCATCCTCTATGGTCCCCCAAAACCCACCAGGAGTTATCCCTGAATGTACAATCATGAGTAAGCCCTGAGCACTGCCAGATATGGCCCCCAAACCAAAAATAAAATAAATTATGATTAAATATCAAGTACCTGTATTCCTTCCATTTCTCAAAAATGGCAAGCTCCATCTCTTCAGTCTGAATGGGCACAAACCTGAACTCAGATACAAGTTCAGGACTGTGCTCAGCAAGATCAAAGTCACCAAGTTCAGCTAGAAATACAATTTTCACAAAGTTATATTTTGTTAAGAAATTGGCTTCCTGTTAAGTTTTCTTTAAAGTTTTTTATTTTACTAATAAAAATTAGTAATAAGATTAAAAAAATTCTTAAATTATCATGAATTCATAATATCCACACCATTATACACATATCATGAATTTGTGTTTAGAGGTATATATAATCAATTAAATGTCTCTTTCTTAATTTTTTTCATGTTTTGTAATGATTAATTTTTGAAAACCTTTCTGGACTGCCAAAGAGAAATACTTTTAATCACATTAAGAATAAACAGGGGCTGACTTTTAATCACATAAAGAATAAACAGGAGCTGGAGCGATAGCACAGCAGGTAGGGCGTTTGTCTTGCACTCAGTCAACCCAGGTTCGATTTCCAGCATCCCATATGGTCCCCTGAGAACCTCCAGGAGTAATTCCTGAGTGCATAAGCCAGGAGTAACCCCTGTGCATCGCCAGGTATGACCCAAAAAGAAAAAAAAAAGAATAAACAAAAATATGTAGCAAACTTTATAAGATAACAAGCCAGCATTCATTAAGAGTCTAATGTGAGCAGAATATTACACTAACATCATATTCCACTGTAAGAAAAACTGTGCTGCTAGAAATGTATCAATCTTAAATAAGTAAAAAAAAATTACTAAAATACACTGTGGAAAGGAAATTAGGGAAAGAAGTGAACAATGTGCAAACATTTACATCATAATCTATAGTTATCTCTCAATGGTGAATTTGGAAAAGGGAAAACAGAGATCCTAATTTTCTATATTATACAACTTTTCCACACGATAGAAAACTTTTCTTTAAAAATTATTTTAGGGGTTGGAGCGCTAATACAAACACCCAGGAGTAAGTGCTGAGCACAGCTGGATATGGTCCAAACAAAACTCACTTAAAAATTGTAAGATTTCTACTAGGTAAAAAAAACCTAACTGTGGAGTGAAAACTATCTTGAGGTAGTAACAAAGATGATTATGACTCATGTTTTAATAAAACACTTAACAAATCTCTCATTCTTGAGCATGAGTATGCAGATCTTTTCTTATTACATTTACCATAAAACATAAAATAGTGTTCTTAAATTGCTACTTATTTCAGATGAATTGGGAACAAATAAAACAAAATTCACTAATGTCATGTTAATCATTAAAATTTTTTATTCTAGCATACACAGTCTAGTAAGAATGTTTCTTTTTTTGCAAAGGCTAAAATTATAGATTGCCTAAAATATCAGTTTTCACAGGGAAATGCCTAACTTTAATAGTATTTGGTAAACCTAGCACTGCAGCACTGTCCTCCCATTATTCATCGATTTGCTTGAGCGGGCACCAGTAACATTTCCATTGTGAGACTTGTTACTGTTTTTGGCATACTGAATACACTGCCACGGGGAGCTTGCCAGGCTGCCATGTGGGCAGGATACTCTAAGTAGCTTGCTGGGCTCTCCAAGAGGAACAGAAGAATGGAACCTGGGTCGGCCATATGCAAGGCAAACGCCCTACCGGCTGTGCTATGGCTCCTGACCGTTAGAGAATGAGAAAAAATAAGACAACATTTAAATAAAAGTACCTGTAAAGCTCTACGGCTTTTGGTTATTTTCCATATTCAAAAATATATATATTCAATGACCTTTGAATAAAGCTTTAAATTGCATCATGTCTATTTTTTGTTTGGGGGCCATGCCCAGCTGTGCTCTAGGCTTCTGACTCTGTGCTCACTCTTGGTGGCACTCAGGGAACCACATGTGGTACCAGAGGTCACATTCATGTTTGGTACAAGGTCGGCACTATCCCCACTCTACTATTTATATGGCCGACAAATTGTGTTGTTTTTTATATTTTAGGTTTTTTTTAAATTTAAATTTTTAAAAAATTTTTATTAGTGAAACACCATGGGGTACAGTTGTAGATTTACAAATTTTTGTGCTTGGGTTTCAATTATACAATGATCAAACACCCATCCCTCCACCAGTGCCCATTTTCCACCACCATGGGTCCCAGTATCCCTCCCAACCCCCAGGCCCCCATCCCACCCTGCCACTGTGGCAGGGGCATTCCCTTTTGTTCTCTCTCTCCTTTTGGATGTTGTGGTTTGCAAAAGAGGCACTGAGTGGCAATCATGTTTGGTCTATCGTCTACTTTCAGCATGATTCTCCCATCCTGGGAGGATCCTCCGAACACCTTTTATTTAGTGTTCCTTTCTCTGTCTGAGCTCCCTTTTCCCCTAGAATGTGTGGCTGGCCTCCAAGCCATGGAGCAAAACTCCTGGTACTAATCTCGGCCACTCTTGGGTGTTAGTGTCCTATTTTATTATTGTGTTTTAAGTTTAATCTTTCAATCTTTGTAGGATGCCCAAATAGTATTTGTGTGAACATATATCACAGTGATGTTTTCTATGAATTCCAAATCTTTTATAGACGTACAAAAGCAAATCTAATTGACCCAAACCTAAAACATAACTCAAAAATTCAATGATTGTTAAATTAAAGGAGATGTTGAGGTAGTTGAGTTACAAGCAGATATTTGGTAAACATAGCAAGAAAAATAAAAGGAACTTTATTATAAATCTTAATTGTTGGATGCCCCCCCCCCACACACACCAAATTAACATTTTTATTAAACCAGGTTTTAAAAGGTTCAGAGGGGCTGGAGTGACAGTACAGTGGTTGGGTAGCTTGCCTTGCACGTGGTGAACCCAGGTTTGATCCTGGCATCCCATATGGTCCCCTCTTCTCCAGGAATAATCCTTGAGTGGAGAGCCAGGACTAAGTCCTGAGCACCACTGGGTGCAACACAAAACCCCAAAAAACAAACCAAAAGAAAAGTTCACTGTGGAATAATTAATGGGTTTAATAAACCCAAAATATGTCATTTTATATAAACTATGTATATATTAGCAAATTACTTCTAAGATTTTCTTTTGTGTACTTTTAGTTAAAAACAGCAGAAACAGGAGCTAGAGCAATAGCACAGCGGACAGGGCATTTGCCTTGCACATGGCCGACCTGGGTTCGACTCCCAGCATCCCATATGGTCCCCCAAGCACCACCAGGAGTGTTTCCTGAGTGCAGAGCCAGGAGTAACCCCTGAGCATCAGCTGGGTGTGACTAAAAACGGGGATATGGTGCCGCCAGCAGGTCAATCTGTACCTGTGAGGCGAGTGCATCAGCAGCCTGATGGCACCGTCAGACTTTCAGATACACCAAAATTGCTGCTGTGCTTTGGCCAGACCCCAAAACCTTGGGGCAAAGTTTACCAAAAAAGTAAATGGCCAAAAGTTAGGTATGTGGGAGACACACTCACAAACCACCTCCGGCTCTGCTATATAATTGGAGGCATGGTCTCTCTGGTCCCTATCAATTGCTTAACAGCCATGATCCCAGAGACTCAGAAACGAATCTCAGAACCCAAAGGATTTAAACAGAAATCCATCCTGTTCCTGCAGTAGGCTACTGGCGCTGAGCCACTCCAGGTGGGAATAGGTTTCGTGCCTTGGCCTGTTCCCCCTGGCGGCCTGGTGACCGCCATTCTCCAGAGGCCACTGGACAGTCAGGTTTGGGCCTGCAGTGACGAGACACATGGGGCCTCGCCAGATGGGGGTGGAACCCGCCCTTTCCTCCCCGTCCAAAGGAGACCCAGAGTTACCACTCACAAATGGCCTCTCTGGCTCCTGATCAAGCTGCTTAACGGCCATGATCCCAGAGAATCAGAAACAAATCTCGAAACCCAGCAGCTTTTGGCAGAAATGCATTTGGACCACATACAAGTGGCTGATGCCTCAGAGCTTACTGGAAAGCCAGGTATGAGCCAGCGGTGACAGGGGAACTGCAGTCTCATGGGAAGGGGGGCGGTACCAGCTCATCCTTCACTCCCTACCGAGGTTACAAGTTCACCCCACAAGCGGCTCTCCAGCATGGCCATGGCTCCAGAGGCAAAAGGACTTAGTCCAGAGCCCGGCAGCTTGTGGGAGAAAAGTGAATGGACCATGCGTTAAACTACGGCACCATGCCTCCCCGGGAGGGAAAGGGTGTTGCTCCCTTCCGCCTTTTTCCCTCCCAGCAGCAAGGTGGCTGCCATTTCAGAGCTTATAGGAAAGCCAGGTATGAGCTGGCGGTAACAGGGCAACTGAAGTCTCATGGGATGGGGGGCGGTACCGGCTCCTCCTTCACTCCCTAGCGAGGTCACAAGTTGGCCCCCAAGAGCGGCTCTCCAGCACAATCATAACACCAGACACACAGAAACCAATCTCGTAATTATTGGGCTCTTTGCAGAAACCCAAAATAGCACAGCCACTATTGCGGTCAGCTCAATATTATATGATTCTCATAACCAGCTATAGAAAACAAAGTATTTCACAATGCCTTTTCAGCAATTCTGATTGTTGGGGCGGGGGGGGAATTCTAAACAATAATGGTGCATCTTTTGTCGAAATAATGAATGTAATCAATGTAGAGAAGAGTTAAGTAGAAATAAACTGCCTCACAGGTATTGGGAGGGGCAGGAGGGGGGTATATTGGGGTTCTTGGTGGTGAAAAGTGAGTACTGATGAAGGGAAACGTGTTGGATCATTGTATGACCGAGACTTAAACCTGAAAGCTTAGTAACTTTTCCCACAGTGATTCAGTATATATAAGAAAAAATAAATAAAATTATGAAAAGAAAAGAAAATAACAAATAAGCACCATATAAAATAGACAACTGTATATGTTTGTGTATCACTTGATCACTTGATATCCCGTTACTCATCGATTTGCCTGAGCGGGTGCCAGTAACGTTCCCATTCATCCCTGTTGCGTGCCAGCGTAGCCCAATGGAATCTGCTCATTCTAGGAACAAGAAGAGCCTCAAACTGATCGTTCAGGGTCTTTACGAAGAAGTCTGACAATCTCGTAGGTGGGCAGCCACGTGATCTTTTGACATCCTGTGGAATCCAGTCAGTAAAGGCTCTAGTCCAGTGGTCGTCTCTAAATCTCATTACGTGTCCAGCCCATCAGATTTTTGATGCCTTGGCAAACGAGACAGCGTCCCTGATTCTTGAACATCAACCTAGGTCGGAACTCCGGATTCTTTCTCTCATTTGAGTGAAGCGTGATACTCCAAGCATAGCTCTTTCGATTCCTCTTTGAGGGATCCGAATAGTGTTCTCATCCTGTTTTCGTAGGGCCCAGGTCTCTGAGGTGTATGTTAATGCAAGAAGAACAGTGGAATAGAAGAGATGTGCTCAGAGCTGGAGGTTCTTCGTCCTCTTAGTTATTTCTTTGACGCTCTTGAAGGCGTTCCAAGCTGCTCTCTTCCTCCTGCGCAACTCAGGTGCCAGGTCATTCGTCAAGTTGACTTCTCGACCTAGGTACACATAGCTTTTGCATTCGGAGATGGTCGTTCCGTTGAGAGCGAATGGGGCATCAGGAACGATGTTTCTCATAAACATTGTCTTCGTAAGATTCAGCTGTAGTTCGACCTTTCCACACTCACGGTCGAAGTCAGTCAGCATTTGTGCCGCTTGGCTGATGTTTGGTGTTATTAGAACCATGTCATCAGCAAAGTGGAGGTGGTGTAGTTGCCGACCATCTATCTTCACTCCCATTCCTACCCATTCCAGTAGTCGCATGACGTTCTCAAGGGTGGCACTGAAGAATTTCGGTGAAACAGTATCACCCTGCCAAACCCCTCTCTTGACATGGATGATTACTTCTTTGTAGAATGGTGAGATCCTGGTAGTGAATCCGTAATCAGCTCATGGAGGGTCCTGATGTATTGAGTTTGAACGCCCTGATTGGCTAGGGCTTCGATGACTGCTTTCGTCTCAACAGAATCAAAGGCCTTCTTTAAATCAATGAACGTTAGACAGAGCGGCATCTTGAACTCCCGAAAAACCTCAATGAGCTTGGATGTCGTGTGAATATGGTCGATGGTGCTGAATCCTTTTTGGTTCCTGGCTTGCTCACATGGTTGTCCATCATCTAGTGTTCTGCGAATCCTATTCAGGATGACACAAGTGAACAGTTTGTAGATGACAGACAATAGGCAGATTGGGTGATAGTTGCCAATGTCATGAATGTCTCCCTTCTTGTACAGTAATACAGTCCTGCTGGTTTTCCATTGGGATGGAAACTTGTATTCAGACAGGTAGCGTGTGAAGAGCCAAGCCAGTATACTGATGAGTACTGACGGTAGGTTCTTCAGGTGTTCGGGTCTGACCTTGTCTGGGCCAGGTGCTCTTTGTTTCTTTACCGACGAGATGGCGTGCTGGATTTCGGAAGGGAGAATGTTGGGAACGACATATCTATCTTGCAGAATTTGGTATGTGGGCAAGTGGACGTGGCTATTAAAGAGATATGAGTAGAAGTCATGAATAATCTTCTCCACTGCCCTTCTGGAAGATGTGATAGATCCACCAGGACGTTGGAGGGCAATCACCTTGGTCTTGTAGTTGGTGGAGGACAGGCAGGCGTTATGAACGCTTTCCCTGGCTTCTGCCACATCTACCAGCACTGCTGCTCTTCTCTCTTTGAGGTCTTCCTTGATTGCTTCTCTGCACTGTTTTGCGAGCTCGGATGTTCACTTGCGGGAGGCATGCACCAAACCACGTCGGCAAATAAGCTCAAGAGTGTTCGAAGACAGGCATTTTTTTGTGGTTATATCTCTCTTGGCGTTCCTCACACAATCATGGAGGTGCTGAACCAGTTGATCGTATTCCTCATCAATGTTGTCCATGACGGCATCTTCCCATGTTGCCGCAACAGACCCAAAGAGCTTCCAGCTGGTGGTTGTTCTGGGAGTTCTCTTAAATTTTGCATTTATGTTTGTGCATATAAAGTAAAATTTTAATATTTTTTTTCTCTTTGAGCCACACCAGTTGTGTTTAGAGCTTACCCATGGCTCTGACTCAAGTGTCTCTCGTGATGGTGCCAGGCATCAAATCTAGCTCAGTTATATGCAAGGCCAATACCTAAGAAATTTTTTTTTCTTGATTGTTTTGGATCAAATCCACTGATGCTCAGGGGGCTATTCCTGGCTCAGGGCTCAGGAGTAACCCCTGTCAATACTCACAGGGCTATATACAATGCCAGGAATTTGAACAAGAGCCACAAACCTATGTATCCATATGCAGTGCAAGTGCCTTACCTCCTGTACTCTCTCCAGTCTATTTTAATATTCTTTTTTTAAAAATCAAGTAATTTTAAATAAACTATAAGCAAATCATGTGGCAACAGCAGTAATCTACTTATCACAGTAGCACTATAGTCCCGTTTATGGATTTGCTCGAGCGGGCACCAGTAACGTCTCCATTGTGAGATTTGTTGTTACTGTTTTTGGCATATCAAATACGCCACGGTAGCTTGCCAGGTTCTGCCATGGGAGCAGGATACTCTTGGTAGCTTGCTGCGCTCTCCGAAACGGACGGAGGAATTAAACCAGGGTCGGCCTTGTACAAGGCAAATGCCCTACCCACTGTGCTATTGCTCCAGTACACTTATCAGAATAGCTTTACTTTTTTCATATGGCAACTTTTATTTTTATTTATTTATTATTATTATTATTGTTATTATTTTTTTTGCAAACCACAACACCCAAAAGGAGAGAGAACAAAAGGAAATGCCCTGCCACAGAGGCAGGGTGGGATGGGGGGATGGGGGGTGGGAGGGATACTGGGACCCATGGTGGTGGAAAATGGGCACTGGTGGAGGGATGGGTACTTGATCATTGTATAACTGAAACCCAAGCACAAAAATTTGTGAGTCTACAACTGTACCTCATGGTGTTTCACTAATAACAACAACAAAAAAAAACCAAACACTTTTATTTTTAAAGAAAAAAATTTCAGAGGATCCAATTGCAATATTTACTGAACTTTCAATAAGAGTGCAATTTTTTTTAAACAGCAAATGAAGGGAAATATGATGCAATGTTCCAAAACATGCTAAAAATCAAGGCTAGGGCTGGAGAGAGAAGACAGAAGTAAAGGTGATGCCTTGCAAGCAGCAAACCTAGATTTAACACCCTGCACCCTGTATACCAAAACAAAAAACAAAAAACAACAACCAAAAAAAAAGCACAAGCCAAAATGTCAGAGTTAGGGGCCAAAGAGAGAGTATAAGGGGTAGGGTGTTCTCCTAGCATTAAGTTGACCTTGGTTCAATACCTGGTATACCTAGATATCTCCTGAGCACAGTGGTCTCTGAGCACAGAATCAGAGGTAAGCCCTAAGCACCTCCAGAGAACACCAAAACAAATCAAAGAACTAAAAAAAAAGTCAGAGTCACATAGAGTTTATTAAGAAAGAGAGAGAGAGAGAGAGAGAGAGAGAGAGAGAGAGAGAAAAGAAACAGTAGTGTTTCTTCTCTTATATGTTACTTTGAATGTTGTGGAATGATTTTTTTTTAAATGATAGCATGGGTTAAGGAACCAATGAGCTTTAGTCTCAGTCGTTAATACACGAAGTGCTTACCTTGAAGGTTATAAGCTGCCAACTGAACAGCTGTTTCAAAGGGACACTCTAATCTGAGACCAAAACACAAATTTGTTAGACAGGTCAATTTCACAAGCTTTATTTTAAGTTAAATGGAAATAATATATTTTATGCTGACCATTTTTTTTCACAATTAACTCAGAATTTCTCAAAATTGCTTTTAGCTGTTTTTTTTTAAAAATGTGGTTAACCTTAAATAATACTTACTTTCCGCTAAGAATATCTTGTTTTAACTGAAGAACGAACAAATACCTAAGAAAAAGAAAAGGCACAAAATTCAACAACAATCTACTATGAAAAATAATTCTACTCTTTTATGTGGAAAAGAAAATTTCTAAAAACAGCAATAAGTCTCACAATGGAGACATCGTTACTGGTGCCTGCTCGAGCAAATTGATGAACAATGGGAGAACAGTGCTACAGTGCTACTCACACTAAAATCTAAAAGTGGTGGCGAAAAGAGCGTGAAAAGGGGGTGATAAGCATTAGGAGAATGGTAGTCTACAAGATAACAACAAATAGCAGACCACAAAACACAATACAGCAACATTTAAAGGTTTAAAACAAATTACTGAAAATGAGCTTAACTCTGACAACACAACCACCTCATCTGAGTGGATAGAGAAATGTACATAATTATAGGTATCAGCTATTATCACATTGGAAATTCGCAAAAACAAAAAATAAACCAATCAAAAGACAAACCTTTGGGGCTCGAGCAATAAATAGTACAGTGGGTAGGGAATTTGCCTTCCACGAGGCCAACCTAGGTTTGGCAACCATATTGTCCCACAAACCCACCAAGAGTGATCCCTGAATGCAGAGCCAGGACCAAGCCCTGAGCATCGCCAAGTGTGGCACAAAAACCAAAATAATATTAAATTTAAAAATTAAAAAAATATTTAAAAATACATTTAGTATTTTTAAATGCTCAGATTTTTTCCCTCTAAATTTTAACTCTCCTCACTCTAAATTTTACATTTGTAGGATTTATCTATTTCATGTAAACTCTATTATAGCACAGAATTATTGATAATATTCTTTAAATTTATATGCCTCTAAAATATTTAGCTAATATTTTTTTATTTACAATTTTGTGAAACTTCAGATTTGCTCTATCTATATGTGTAGCTGTTAGCACATCCACTCACCAAAAAAAATAGATGATCTCTTTTGTATGTAGATATAAAAAAACATAGTAAGAGAACAACAAATGGGGGCTGGAGTGATATAGTATAGCAAATAGGGCATTTGCCTTACACCTGCTGACCTGGGTTCAATCCCTGGCATCTCATGTGGTCCCCTTAGCACCACCAGGAGTAATTTTTGAGTGCAGAGAGCCAAGAGTAACCCCTGAGCATGGCCGGGTGTGACCCAGATTGAGAGAGAGAGAGAGAGAGAGAGAGAGAGAGAGAGAGAACACAACAAATTGTCAAAGTCATCAGAACTGAACATTTTGTCTATCAAACTTAGCTTACATGGCGGGGAGGAAGGACACTCGTGGAGGGACACACTCTTTCCAGCATTAGGTGTGGTGTGCTGGGATGATGTATGCAGGAAAAGCGTGTTTAACAGTATTGTAAATTCTGGTACACCAATAAAAATATTTTTTAAAATAACTTAAAAAAAAAAACCCAAAAGGACTGGATCCATTTCTTTAAAATTATGTATGCATAAATAGTGAAGTTGCAATAGGGTTAAAAAACTAAAAAAAAATAAGTGTCTAAAACCTAAAGTTTCCTCAAACAGAACAAAATCATATTTGAATTTTTTTCCATTAATCACTGGCATTTCAATAGGTAAGAAAACCAAGAGCCATTCACAAAGGTCAGAGATCATTTTGAACAGCAATAAGCATAATATTGCAATGTAAATCCTTTTTAAAGTCCATATCATTTAGTATCATTAACTAAAAAATTCTCTGGTTATATCTCTGAATATGCTAACAAGCCAATTCATTATTCTGAAAGCTAGTAAGGAACCCCCCACTTTAAAAAACCACAGTTGCCAAATGAAACTCTATTGTCTGTGATTTTATTACATGAGCAAGGAATTCATTAACTGCCTATAAAAAAATTACGAATTTTCAGTATCTTTAACAAGCTTGACCAAAAATTTACTCCTGTACAACTCTAGGTGCAGTCTTACCGGGTTAGCTCTTCACGGAGGTTATTTGGTTCTGAGGAATAAAATTTAACTCGAAGATGTAGACAATACGGTGAACCAACTGCCATTAAAAAAAATAAAAAGTAAAAAGCTTTATTTTTATATAACTACTTAAATGGTTAAGAATTTTCATCCAATAAGTATGTAAAAAAAAAAATCTACCAAAACGGGGACAGAAAGTGATAGGTTATTGTGGCAATATTTCAGGTTTCTTTATATTTAGGCTTAATTAAATTTAACACAAAAAAGATCAGTCAAATTTTTAAATTAACAGCCATCAATGAGTACAACCACAATCATCTGTCCTCCCAAGAATAGATAGTTCTATTAATTCTAAGAATGCAGGGCCAACTGCATCAAATTAAAAAGACTTGACTGCAATCTAACAGCCCTAAAAATCTGTCAGCTGTATTTCTTGAGAGCACAGAAGGATGCCTCCGTTATTAACTGCTCATCCTCCTGTGGCAAATCCTCCCACTCACTTTCACTTCAGCTACTTTCACTAACTTCAACATTCTCAATGGTTCTCAACATTCTCAATACTTTCACTAACTTCAACATTCTCAAACAATGGTTCCATTGTTTGGCAAAAGCAAGAGTGAAAAGGTCTGAAATCTGTCACTAGAAAGGAGAAACTGAATTATGAATTAAATACTGGTATTTCTCCTTGACAACTGTTAAGAATAAAACTAACATTTTTTCATTTCATGATTCCTAAATTGGGGGAAAAGACAGCAACCTTAAAGTTCCAAAATACTTTCTAGATCAGGGAAGGAGCAAACAAAAATGAAACAAGAAAATTATAATTTAAGTAAATTCTAAATAAGAATTGAACATGTCATGGGAGCTCTACAACTTACAAGCCTCTCTCCTGGAACCAAATTGTGAAACAACCTATTACATGCCAAGGTGGGAATAATATCCAACTGAAGTAGAGGTGCTATAAAATTCATCTGAAATATGATTTCTCTGTCCTTACCACTAGTAATAGGAGTTTCTAATATATATCTACATATAGTTCAATTTCTTTATTTCCACCAATTTCAACACATACTTTTTACTTGCTTTTTGATGCTCTTTGTTCCATCCAACCAATGCTGGAAAGAAAAGAAAAATTCAGTTGCTAAGCAGATGAAAGAACTTAACATTTTAATTACTAATATTAAACTGCACTGTGCTTTTTCATGGCTAGACAAAAGAAATATTTCACAAGGGAAAAAGAAAGAGAAAATGGGAGAGGATTAGCTAAGATTTATAGCAAATTTGTGACACATAAGGAAAAAAAGGACTAGAATCATACAAGTTGACTTCTAAAAATATAGTTACCTCAATTGTAAGGATATTCTAAATTTTGTCCTTAGCATTCTGCACTGTTTCCAAGAAAATTACTCTTTCAAAATATGCATGAACTGTGGTAACACAAATGGACCTTGGCACCATGACACTATAACACACATACACACCCCCTCTTAGAAGTAGAGAAAAGTGGGGCTGGAGTGATAGCACAGCGGGTAGGGCGTTTGCCTTGAACGCTGCTGACCCAGGTTCAATTCCCAGCATTCCATATGGTCCCCCGAGCACCTCCAGGAGTCATTCCTGAATACAGAGCAAGGAGTAACCCCTGAGCATCGCCGGGTGTGACCAAAAAGCAGGAAAAAAAATTAGAGAAAAGAAAATTATTATCATAGTCCAGTGCCTGGTTTATTATGTTGAAATTTTATCATAACAAAAATTTATTTTAATAGCAAAATTATATGAAATATCACTTATATTTTGCAAAACAAATATTACTCAGAATAGTGCTTCGAAAGAATCTATACAATAAAATCAGATATTCCTCATAACCAAGGCCTGAGCTATTAAAATTAGTCTTTGCTACTTTTTTATTTTTCAAAATAAGCATTTGACTAGCAGGTTTCTGCTTTCAAGATTAACAGGCTTTTTATTTCTATACCATCTTCACTCTTGAATGCCCAGTGATATACTGAACATACTGAAGGACCCAAACAGAGGCTTTTATCAATAAGCCATCCTCAGCTCACTTTATTAAATCCCTTTCCCCTACCAAGTCCTAACAGTGACAGGACATACTGATCCAACACAGATGCAGGATTGTGACTGTTCTCTCCAGCATGCTTACAATTTCAAGCACCCTAAACCAAAGTGCTCTTGTGCTAACTAGTTCACAGAGCTAAGGAATCCAGCTCCTGAATTCCAGATAGGCAAAGAGAGGGTAAACAAGGCTGCATTGTTAATAGATTTGCAACAGTTTATTTTTCTTGCCAATTATTTGCCTAGCCTCTCCTCTCCATTTTCTTCCAAAATTCAAAAGTAAAATTGACAGAATTAACAGTGTACCTACCTGTGCACATTGAAATATGATCCTAAGTAAATATTTAAAAAGGTAATTAAACACTATGCAATTCTTTTTTCTGGATTCCAATTGTATAAAGCTACTTAGCCATTGTTCACCTTCTAATATAGTTATTTATTTAATTTTATTTAATTAAACTTAACTGATTTAAGTTTTAGGCATATTTCAATCTAATAAGTAATTTTCAGGGTGTGTTTACTGGTGTTTCTTCTTTCAACAGAATAGTCAGTATAGAGAAATTCAATCCATTAATCTATTGAGTCTATAATTTAATCTATTAGGTTATTAATTTATAGACTAATGGATTTAGTCCATTAGTCAAAAAGATTTCAACTTCTGGGCACAGGGAGATGGCTTAAAAGGGCTGAGGTGCATGTTTTGCATGCAAGAACTCTGAGTTCAATCACCAACACAGAATGGTCCTCAAAGGGATGCTGGGATCCGTGGTGGTAGAAAATGGGCACTGGTGGAGGGATGGGTACTTAATCATTGTATAATTGAAACCCAAGCACAAAAATCTGTAAGTCTACAACTGTACCTCTTGGTTTGTCACTAATAAAAATTAAAAAAAAAAAGAATAGTCCTCTAAACACTAAGAGGAATAACCCGAACCCCACTGAATGTGACAGAAAAAACAACCAAAAACAACCCCCCCAAAAAGATTTCAATCTACGACAGTGAAAAGTCCACCATGGACAAGTCATGCAACTCAGTATTCCTAAGTGTGCTAAATTACTCATACAATCTAACAGCAATCACATTCTAGTATGAGGAAGCCTCATTTTAAGATTACTTTCTTCATGAATATGGGATTTCTCCTAGCTTCAGGTTTTGCCGATTAAATAACAATGAATTAACAAGTAACTGTCTGATTACCTGAGCAGTCCCAGAGAGCTACAATTAGGGAGATTCTCAGACACCGTAATGAGTGCCAACTAAGTGCAATCCTAGGAATAACTATGTCTAAAAATAATAACTGTGCTTTGAACCAACAAATCCACATCTAGAAATCATCATAAATTTATACAGATTTATCTACAAAGAATTATAAAGACTATATATCCAACAACAGTGAACGGTTACAAAGTATTTCAACATAAAATATACTCTGCATGGGGCTGGAGCACAGCGGGTGGGGCATTTGCCTCGTATGCGGCCAACCCGGGTTCGATTCCCAGCATCCCATATGGTCCCCTGAGCACCGCCAGGGTAATTCCTCAGTGCAGAGCCAGGAGTAACCCCTGTGCATCGCCAGGTGTGACCCAAAAAAAGCAAATAAATAAATAAAATATACTCTGCAACAATTAGAAGAAATGACAGCAAATACTTAGAAAATCAGTAAATTTACAACATATTGCTAAAATTTCAAAGGCAGATTGTAAAATTGTTTTGTCAAAATATAGAATGTGTATATTTTCATCCCTGTTCTAGGACTGAGAAGATCCTTAAACAGCAACATACTATCTCTAGTTGGTTGAGGCTACTTGTCAATTTTCCTTTGTTCTTTCCTATATATTTTTTGCTTTATTTTAATTTTGGACCACACCCTGCGGGCTGAGGGCTTACTCCAATCTCTGAGATCAGGATTCACTCCTGGTGGGTCCCAAGGAATCATGGGGTGCTGAGAATCGAACTTTGGTCAGTCACGTGCAAGGAAAGTGCTCTGCTGTCCAGTCTCTCTTTTCTGTATTTTCAATGGGCACATAATACTTAATATCTTATATACTATTGATATAGTTTAATTTTTCTATGCTCACCAATTTCTCTAACTTCTGCAATAAATTCCTTATAAGCCCAATTTCTATCACTATACACCACCTCAAGATTTAACTGGTTTCTCCTGATTTCTCACAATTTCTTCAGAGAGAGGAAAAAGAATTGTGTGTCAAGAGTAAAGAACATTAACAACAGATTAAAAATCAACAGGCTAAACATAAACTGATAGAAGACACTGAGGCACATAAGAATTTTAAGATAAGGGAAACCACTTAGGATTTCAAGAACAATCTGAAGTCTTTGTTAGATAGTCATAACTTAAGTTGATTCATGGTAGGGTCTACTTAGGACTACCTTATAAATATACCATTCAACCCTAATCTGTACTCTACTGTTCAAAGTTACATATTAAACCTAAATCAGAGTTTAGATATTTAGTCTTTTTAAAACAAATATGTATGTATGTGTATATATATATATGTATATATATAGTGTCTAATATCTATGCTTTTAAATAACCCCAAACTCAAAGAAAGCATCAAGCACCTTTTAAAATAAGATTCAGAAACCAGGGGAGTTCAGGGTGACATTCTGGGGAAGGTCTGAGTTCATGTTTGCATACTCTCAAGTCTGTTTTCTTTTATCTCCTCCACATTCCAAGCCCAGGACTGGAAAATTCAGAGCTTAGAGACAGGCACTGATCATATTTCCTTGCACCATGGTCTTTCGGAGTTGAACTTAAATTAGAGATAAAAGTGAGAGCATGCAGACAGATTTCGAATGTCTAATGTGAAACTAATAGGGTTATCTTCCTTTTCTGTATATTAAAAATAAAATAAATCTTCTTTTGATTTCCTACTTTTAAAGTTTGTATAATGAACTGTTCCTTCTTGTTTAAATATATGTATGCATGTATGTGCATATATGTGTATGTGTGGGTGTGTGGTGTATAGGTGTATATGTAATAACTATATATATATACACACACACACACTTAGCACGTTATTTTATGTACTTTTTACTCTCCACTATCTTATTATATTAAATTCTCAGTTAAATTCCACAGTACAATTCAATCTCTGCCGAAAACGAACATTTTACCTTCTCTTTCTAACTCTTATAATTTCTAAATAATTGCATATGCTGGTATTTCTCAAATTACTCAGCAGAGATAAAAATGGGTATCTTTTTAATAAAATTGGTCACTTACTTATCTGGTAGGAATTTTCTACTGTCTAACTAGGAATGTGATGAGGTTTTGCTTTTAATAATCAAATATAAGTCTAGAAAGAGCAGAGTAACTGAGCAACCATTGTTATGTTTTCCATAGCTGTGACCCACTGAAGCCACCAATCTACTGGCACTCACTACCAGCTCTAGAAATGAGCACACTATACAAGCTTGGGTAGGTCTACACAGATAAAAAGTTCATTATATACAGGCTAAAGTCTGTTAGGTTTATCCACAGCGCGCGCGCACACACGCACACGCACACACACACACACACACACACACATGCGCGCGCACACACACACAACATAAGAATCCTAGAGTATTATCTGCCTGACCTCAGTTGTGTGAGGATCTGAAATTTCACCATATTTTTCTCACAGAGCCTGAAATACCTGAATTCTAACGCTGGAATGAGAATTGCTCTCTTTCATTTCCATGATTTTGGATTTGCTATTGAAGGGACCTGCAATTGCAGCCTTAAGGTACCTATTTAGTCATGTTCCACTAGATCTAGATTCTTAAATGAGGATCCAGGACTCCATATAGGGATCATGTAACTGAATGCTGGAGTTGTGAAAAATTTGACAACAACCAATAAAGTCCAAAAATTAATTCAAAATCAAATAAATAATAAGTTCATAGCATTTCTGGCAAGTGCTCTCCTGTGTTTCACTGCATGGGAAAAGGTATCATGTGGAAAAAGTTCAAATAGCACCCTCTAGACAATAAAACATTTTCTAGCCTTTAGCATGAGCCCTTATATCTCTATCTCTGTAGAATGCTTTTCTTTGAGGTATTGATTTTTAACTGTATTTGACTGAAGTATACAATAAAGCAATTAACAGCACAAGTCATTAACCTGTTTACATATATTCATACACTCACATAACCATTGCCAAAAATAAGTCACAGGACTACACTGATATCACCTAAGTGTAATACTCATTTTCTTCTACAAAATAAGATATAAGTAATATGAGGAAGGAGAAGTAGCAGCGTAGCACTTTTCTCCCTTCATTCATCAATTTGCTGGAGTAGGCACCAGTAACATCTCCATTGTGAGACTTGTTGTTACTATTTTTTTTGCATATCGAATACGTCATGGGTAGCCTGCCAGGCTTTGCCATGTGGGCGGGATACTCTAGGTAGCTTGCCAGGCTCTCTGAGAGGAGTGGAGGAATCTAACCCGGGTTGGCCGCGTGTTTGAGGCAAACACCCTACCCGCTGTGCTATTGCTCTGTGCCCATAAGTAGCACTATCTTCCTGTTGTTCATCGATTTGCTAGAGTGGGCCCAGTAACGTCTCCCTGGTGAGACTTGTTACTGTCCTTGGCATACTGAATACATCACGGGTAGCTTGTCAGGCTTTAAAGTACGAGCGAGATACTCTCGGTAGCTTGCTGGGCTCTCGGAGAGGGGCGGAGGTATCGAACCTGGCTTGGTTGGGGCGGCCTCGTGCAAGGCAAATGCCCTACAGTTGTGCTAGGGCTCCAGCCCGCTCATAAGTATATATCATTATTTCCTAAAAGAATGGAAAACAATTTCATGGTATACCGTATTACATGGAGACGTTACTGGAGCCTGCTCGAGCAAATTGATGAACAACGGGAGAACAGTGCTACAGTGCTACCATATTATATGAACTGATATTGAATCATTATAATCAGGTGTGGCCCCAAAACCAAAAAAATTAAAAGCAACTGAGTTCTATGTACTGATTTTATAGCGTGCCACTTTACTATACAGGTTTAGAAGGCTTCTGTAGTCTTTAGGGTTTTCTAAGTATAATATGTCATCTGCAAAAGTGAGCTTTATTTACTTTCATTCTTGATCCTCATAGTACTCTTTCTTGCTTAATTGCCCTGGTAAAGAATTCCAATACAATGCTGAGTAATAGTGGTGAAAGTGGACATCCTATTTTTGTGGCTGATCTGAGAGAAAAGGCTTTCAAGTTTTTCATCACTGAATATGTTAGCTGAGGGTTTACTAAAGACCTTAATTATACTGGAGAAAGTTTCCTCAATACTTATTTTTTGAGACATTTTCTCTTTGTTTTGTTTTTAATCAAGAATAGGTGTTGGATCTTGTCAAATGCTTCCTCCTTATGTACTGATACGATTATGATTTTTACCTTTTCCTATTTTGATAGTGCTATACTGATGGACTTAGAAATTTTTTTTTCTTTAGTTCTTCTTTTCTTCGGTAGGGTTGGGGGGAATACACTCAAAAGTGCTCAGGTTTACTCCTGGCATTGTGCTCAGGGTTCATTCCTGGTGCTGCTAAGCAGACCACATGTGGTGAGGGGGAATGAACCCAGGCAAGCTTTACCAAGGCAAGCACCTTACCCGCTATACTATCTCTCTAGCCCCTATAAAATTCTTTCCTTCTTTATTTTTTGTTTGTTTTTTGTTTTTGGCGCACACCAAACAATGCTCAGGGGTTACAACTCCTAGCTCTGCACTCCGGAACCACTGGCGGTAACCAGGAGACCATATGGAATGCCTGGGATTGAATCAGGGTCTGCTGTATATAAGGCCTACCCACTGGTTTATCACTCTGGTCCCTGTTAGTTAAACTATCTACTTTTCTCTTTTCTGAAACATTATTTAAATCCACAAAACCTAAGTAATTCAGTCTTTTATAAAACCCTAATATAGCAGTGAAAAGTCCAAGTTCTAGATATGATTGAAAACTTTGCCAAGCAGAGGTCACAAACACATGTAAGAGACTTAAATCTTAGCCTACATTCTAAGAACCAGCGGTTCTAAACTTTAATATGCCCAACAACCAATCCAGTAGTTTTTAAAAAGACAACTCAGGGCTGAAACAACAGCATAATATTCTTCCAGGAATTATCTCTGTGGCTCCCAAACAAAAAACAAACAGGAAACAAACAAACAAAAAAACCCTCCAGTGTTATCTAGGCAATCCAACCTCTTTTTTAAAAACTTGATCATCAGGACCTGAGTAACAGTACAGCACGGAAGGCGCTTGCCTTGCACATGGCTGCCCTGGGTTTTATCCCCAGCATCCTATATGGTCTCCCGAGCCTACGAGGATATTGTCTCCTGAGCTTGGCAGGAGTGATCCCTGAGCACAGAGCCAGAAGTCCTGGCACACCACACACACACACACACACACACACACACACACACACGATTCATTACAAAGGCATTTTAAAATTCATCCATAAAGGGGGCTGGAGAGATAGCACAGCGGGCAGGGCGTTTGCCTTGCACATGGTCGACCCGGGTTCGATTCCCAGCATCCGATATGGTCCCCTGAGCACTGTCAGGAGTAACTCCTGAGTGCAGAGCCAGGAGTAATTCCTGTGCATCGCTGGCTGTGACCCCAAAAAGCAAAATAATAATAAAATAAATAAACAAATAAAATTCATCCATAAAGAGTATACAATTTGTATTAGGACCAAAACTTTTTTTCTCCTAAAAAATATTTCAGGTGGCTGAATCAAAAAGTCAAAATTTCAGACCATAGTAAGAAAATCACAAAACAATATGGACACTTCTCAAAAAACTAGAAATTGAGCTCCCATTTGACTCAGCAATACCACTTCTGGGAATATATCCTGGGGGCCCAAAACCACACAGCTGAAACACCATCTGCACTCCTATATTCACTGCAGCATTATTCACCATAACCAGAATCTGGAAACAACCTGAGCACCAAAGAACAGATAAACGGATAAAGAAACTATGGTGCATCTACACAATGGAATACTATGCAGCTGTCAGGAAAAATGAAGTCATGAAATTTGCCTGTAAGTGGATGGACATGGAGAGTATCATGCTGAGTGAAATGAGTGAGAAGGAAAGGGACAGATAGAGAATGACTGTATTCATTCATGGTATATAAAAAACAATATATAGTAGAAGAAGAATATCCATGGCCAGGGAAAATAGGGGTTAGGAGGACTAGTCAATGTTTGGAACTAACCTCAAGTGTGTGGGGGGCTGAAAGTAGGTAAAGAAGAGACCAGTATGACAATAAAAGCTGGGAATGATCACACTGGACAAGATATGAGGGCTAAAAGTAGGTATGGGGCATTCTTGATAACCTTTCAGTATCAATATAGCAAGCCACAAAGCCCAAAAGGAGAGAGGGGGAGATGGAGAGGGAGGGGGACGAAGAGGGAGAGAAAGAAGAGGGACAGGGAGAGAAGAAAAGCACCTGCCATAGAGGCAGGCAGGGGGTGGGGGGTGGACACTGGTACTGGAAAATGTACACTGGTGGAGGGATGGGTGCTGGAATACAGTATGACTGAAATCCAATCATGAACAGATTTGTAATAGTCTACCTCACAGTGATACAATAAAATTTTTTTTAAAAAATCCCAGAAAAAAAATAACATATTAAGACTATGCAACCTAGTGGCACTAACAGCGCATCTAAAATTTTCCATTTCTATCTCCAACTTACCGCCACTTGTGCTGAATCCATAAATCTTAGCCCAAAATAGTCACTTTCAATCAGGTCCAGGTGGTACATAATCTGATCAAACAACTCCTGTCCTTTGGCTTTTTTCTGAAATAAGAAAAATATTATTAAGTGATTTACAAGATCAACAAACCTGAACAAAGATGGCTTTAGTTATACAATATATTTTTACTTTTTCACATTACTTATAATCAGCACAAAGCAGGTTCTGAGTAAGATATTACAGTTTCCAAATAACTTCTTTAAAAAAAAATTTTTAAGGGGCTGAAGAGATAGTGTAACAGGTAGTGCTCTTGCCTTAAACATGGCCAACCTGGGTTCAATCCCCATCACCCCACATGGTCCCCCAGGCCCTGTGAGCAGTGATCCCTGAGCTGAGAAACCAGGGGTAAGCCCTGAAGATCACTGGGTGAGGCCCTAAATCCAAAATAAATAACTAAATAAACAAACAAACAAATAAATAAAATCTATTCTAGGTGCTTTGGTTTATAAAATTATTAATGGTAAGGGTTCATGCATGAACTAAATCCTCCCCCAGAGTCTCAACTTCGCTCCCTGTTTGTATCAGTAATACCCCACATTTTAATCCATCCCCTTTGGTAAGCTTCTTACTGAAGACCAGTTCTCAGTTTCTGTTGCCTAAGGAAACTTGTTATTCCTTTCTCCAAATAAATAAAGTCAAAAGAGAATTTATAATTTGTATTACTTTCTGTCAACCAGCAAATATATTCTGTACATAACAATGTTCCTGTGAAGAACTCTTCTTTGTATAGAAATTTTTTAGAATCACCTCCCCCCGCTTTTACTAGTTTGGTTTTATTGGGGGGGTGGGGTCCACACCTCCACACCTGGCAATATCTCAGGACAGTTCCAGGCTCTGAGTTTGGGGTCATGCCTGGATGTGTTCAGAGGAATGTGTAGTGCCAGCGATGGAACTCAAGCAAAGCATGTGCTCAACTGGTTGAGACATTGCTCCAGACCTAGAGTGCCTACTTCTAAGGTGCCTTATAATGTAACTGGAAACACACGCGCACACACACACACACGCACGCGCGCACACACACACACACACATGCAAGCACACACAAACTTAGAACACCTAAAGTCTAAATCATAAGAAAATAACTACATCTGGCCAACAGATTTTACAGAAAGAGATTAGAATCATTAGATTAGACGAAACAGAATACACTTAAAACTGGAAAAGAAAAGATAAAAACAAAAGCAAAAATGGAATCTAAGAGAGAATAGAGGATAAGAAGAAAACTATTGGGTGTAGGGGAGGACTAGAAAAGAAACTTGTACAGAAGAAGCATTTACAAAGGTATCCCAAATCCTTTTAAAAGATCCGCAAGATCCTAGAATTCTCAAGTACCTCAAGTCAAACAACAATGCAAACATGAATAACATAAGCAGAAAAATCAATCAGGATTATTATGAACCAAAATCTTATTAGATTATATTACACTAGACATTAAAGAATTTTTGCTACAAGCCTACAAAAGAAAGCTACTCATTAATTTTTTTGTTGTTTAGAAGTTTTTTCATAAACACATATTACTTGGGGCCAAAGAGAAAGTACAGAAGGTAAGGCCACTGCCAGGAGTAAGCCCTGAGTATTGCTGGGTGTGGTCCCAAAGCTATATGTATAATTATACATAACTTATATTTAAACTTAAACTAGTGAAGGGGAAAGTATGTAAATTCTGTATACCTGAAACTAATATAATTTTTGTCAATCATACCTGTTAAAAAAATTAATTTTATTTAAAATTTTTGGCTATGGCTGGAGGTACTCACAGCTTACCCCTGACTCCGCACTCAGGGATCACTCCTGGTGGGGTTGGGGGACCATTTGGGGTGCCTGGATCAAACCCAGGTCAACTGTGTAGAAGGCAAGCACTCTAGCTACTGTGCTATCACTCCAATCCCAAATTTTATTTTTTAACATAAACTGGCTTGTCAGATACAACTGACATAAGCAAAAACATTGAGATCCACAATTTTCATATACATAAGCATTTCCACCTTACATAATTTTAAATTATAATGTATTATTTAAGAATAGTTTAACTGGGTTTTTATTTACTATATTGGTTTGTTGGGTCATACCCAGTGGCACTTGTGGGATACTCTTGGTTGGGTATTTAGGAGACCAAGTGGTGCTGAAGATCCACCATGCATATGTTCAAATCCTTTGAACCATCTTCCCAGGCTTAGGTCTTTGTTGTTGCTATTGTTTTGTGGTTTTGGACTTTTGGACCACACCTAGCTGTGCTCAGGATTTACTCCTGGCTATGTGCTCAGGGACCAGCCCTGGCGATAATCAGGGAACCATATGCAGTGTTAAGGATATAAACAGAGTTAGTACTTATGCAAGGTAAGCACTCTACATGCTAGACCACCACCTTGATGGCCCCTGGAGTGGGCTTTTAATAACAATTTCTTTCAACTGACAACTTCATTATTTCAAGTTGTCCTTTGGTAAAAGTTGTAATGGTAAAAGTTGTCCTTTTACCATTTTTAAAACCTTTTTTCTTTTTGATAGAAGGATATATGGATCATAATTTTATTTTCCAGTCAAAACCTTGATTATGTTCCTGATCTTCCCCAACCTTCACTGATTCATTGATTACTGCCTCTATTTCTTTTCTTCACTTGAGGCTGATTTTCTTGACAATTTCTTTTTGGTAGTGTTAAGAAGACACTTTACTTTGGTATTTGATTAAATTTTTGTTTTGGATTTTTATGCTGTATTTCAACAACTCCCAGAAATTCTCAGACTTTATTTTTACCAAAGTACTCAGGGATGACTTCTGGTGGTGCTTGAGGGACCTCATGCAATGCCGGAGATCAAAACCATTACTTGTGTGTGCAAGGCAAGTGAAGTGTCTTACCACTGGTACTATTTTTCTAGCCCTCTGATATGATCATTCTTTCCACATCTTAAAGTGTATATCAATCGTCTATTACCATAGTCTAGATCTGTCTTTCCAACTGAGTTCTTCCTCCAAAAATGCTTCCAAGTGAGACTTTCTAAGGCTTTCTTCTATGTTTGTTTTGAAGGGGTGCGCGGCGGCAGAGGGGAGCAGAGTTAGCAGTGCTCAGGGCTTAATCCTTGCTTTGTGCTCAGGGCTCATTCCTGGCAAGGTCAGGAATAAGGGGTACTGGGGATTGAAACTAGATCAGCTCCGTGCAAGGCAAGCACCCTACCCACCGTACTATCTTGCAGGTTCCTGTTTAACAATATTTTAATTGGGCCTAGGGGTAGTTCATGCTTTGCATGTGTGATTCTACAAGTTTGATCCCTGCAACAGTCACCTTCCCATCTGAGCTAAGAGCAATCATGTCAACACTGCCACGTGGGATGCCTCATGCCACAACCACTACAACCAAGAGCATCACAAGAGTGCAGTCCCTGTGGCTAAGAGAACTGGAGCACCAAACTGTGACTAAGAGGATTGGAGCACCAAACTGTGACTTCAAAATGCTTTGCATATTTTCATTACCATTATTAATTAATGAAACCTTATTGTTTATTCAGCATTTCAGACTTTGCTTTATCTGATAATCTTAATTCATCTAGCATTTTCTTAACTCTTTTGTATTCCATAGGTCTCTTCAATCTGAGATCTTTAATGGCCTTGATTCTGGGAAACAAGTAATAATTCGCTATTTTGTCATTTTACTTCCCTAAATGTCAGTATTAAAAAAGATACACTTGATTATCACAATAAGTTTGGTAATTATGGTTTATTTATCATTTAAAGAATTTGAGGCAGGAGTGGCCGAGATTAGTACCAGGAATTTTGCTCCATGATTTGAAGGCCAGTCACTCGTGCTAGGGAAAAGGAAGCTCAGATAGAGAAGAGAGCACCAAATAAAGGGTGTTGGGAGGATCCTCCCAGGGTAGGAGACATGCTGAAAGTAGACTATAGACCAAACATGATTGCCACTCAATGCCTCCCTTGCAAACCACAGGACCCAAAAGGAGAGAGAGAGAGAGAGAGAGAGAACAAAAGGGAATGCCCTGCCACAGGGGCAGGGTGGGATGGTGGAGATGGGGGGTGGGAGGGATGCTAAGTCTATAACTGTACCTCATGGTGTTTCACTAATAAACAAATAAATAAATAAATAAAAAACTTGGGGCAAAAGTTCAGAAACTGTATAACAATACAAACAGCTAAAAAACAAAAGAAGACAAAACTAGAATTTTAGTTTCACTGGCTCCTAAGTTCAAATTTCCCAATATATACCATACCTATATTTTACCTGCATATCATCTCTCAGATCAATAACCAGATACCCCAATGTTCTGGGGAGGGGGAGGAGCTGGGCCACACCTCAGCAGTACTCAGGTCTTATTCCTGTCTCTGCACTCAGAGATCACTCCTGGCAGAGCTTGGGGAACCATATGGGGTGCTGCGAATCGAACCCAGGTTTGCCATGTGCAAGGTAAGCATCCTGCTCATTATACTATCTCTCCAGCCCAACTTTAAATCACTACTTCATCTTCTAATCTGTTGACAATATTTTCAGTGCCTAGATTCTCTAACCAATTACTCCACTTTTCAAGCATGAGCTGTCATTTTTACACTTTAACATAAGAAATTACCATTTTAGGGGCTGGAGCAATAGCACAGCGGGTAGGGTATTTGCTTTGCATGCAGCCGACCCGCGTTCAATCCCCAGCATCCCATATATTTCCCTGAGCACCGCCAGGGGTAATTCCTGAGCGCAGAGCCAGAAGTAACCCCTGTGCATTGCTGTGTGTGACCCAAAAAGCGAAAATAAATAAATAAATGAATCCCTTAAAAAAATTACCATTTTAGGGTTCAAGGAAATAGTATCAGGGTTTGGGAGCATACCTTGAATGTGCCTGACCTGAGTTCAATCGCTCGTACCACATGATTCCTGGTGAACTATTGGACCTGGCCCTAGAGATGCCCAGCATTGCCAGGGTGACCCTGGTAGTCCCCAGCAAATCAGGAACCAACTGGTACCAGATCATTAGGCCTAGCACTGAACTACTGGCACCTATGGCTAAGTATTCCCAGAAGTGTGGCCTGGCCCCCCACTTGGGAGTA